CTTTTTGGCTACCCAACTACCCAGAACAGAAACCAAACAGCCAGCACATAAGGAAACAAAAGCCACATTAGAGCTCAACAGCGGAGTGTGCAGGGCTCTGTGACCCTCAGCACCACACTGCCTTGCTCCTGGGTACGCTGACCAGGCAGCCAGCCAGACTCCACACACAGGCCTTGCAGGCATCCGAGTGTCAGTTACGCATGGGGGGATGGAGAAAAGAGACGTTCGAAAGAAACTATTTGAATGGCAGCAAATGTGCTTTTAGAAGAAGGTGCGTGTGTGTGAGTAGTATTTTGGCTTTGGCTTGCTTTCGGCTATTTCTTTTGGGCGTGCAGATCGAATTGCTTCGCTGCATGTTGAAGTGGGGTCGCGTGATTTTTTTTGCTGCTTTTAACAAGACATTCAGAACGTGGGCTGCTCACGGGCTGTTTCACAGGCTGAAGTCAGCGGGTTCTAGACAGGCTTTTAGGGAGGATATATGGGAAGGAACAGGGAAAAAGCTTCTGTTCATTGTGCGATTCTGTTGAGCAAAAGGAGCCTCCCGGAATGCTCAGACATCGCTTACTTCCTGTAATAAAGTATCAGTATCTCAGGGTCATGATGTTACACCCATGGCACCCCAAATACACACAATTTATCAGCTCACTAAAGGTCTGTTCAAGCACGTTAAAATAGATTCTTGCATTTAAGAAAAAAGATGTAATCTTCTAAAGTACAGTGCCTAATTTGAGTTTGTATATTCCAGCTGAGAAAATTGCGTGAGCCACAGAGGATATTCTTGTCTCATTTTCTTAAAGTATAGCTCAGCCTGGTGACTTGTCTGATATAGTCACCACTCCTTTTGGCTGAGGAGAAGCAGCCATAAACAGCTTTTGGCTTCCTGGCATCAAAAAAATATACATACAGAGAAAATACAAATCTTTTAGATCTTTTTTCTTCCTTTTTCTAAAATCATCACAGTATGCAGTGTCCTGCCCAGAATGGCTGCACTGCTAAATTCTGTGCCGGATTTAGTAATACATGCCTTCTTTCAAGAGTGTGCTTGTTGCTTTTGCACATTCGGGTGTTCCTTGCAAATCTTTTCCTTTCTTTGGAAATCCTCTGCAAAGTGACAGACACACTACTGACTGCACTGCCACAAGACACATTGCTTTTAGTTTTGGTCGTTTACTGTGAGGGTGCCTGCGGTTGTGATCTGTCAAATGTTTGTTCTTCTGTCACTGACAATTAAGGAAACAAATATGCGGACATAAAGGAAACAAGCAGGGTAACATTTGAAGATTTGTTTTCTTTCTTTAGCCCTTATTATTTTCAATTGAATATCTTTCTTCTACTTTTATATTTGGATTGCCATGCCAAAGGAAAAAAATATGATTTATTTAATACAAAATGACATTTTAAAGAGTTAAATTTTAATTCTGAACCCTCAGAAATCCCGTTCTCTCAAAAGACACGCTCAAGTAACAAGGCTCCATGTTTTTCAGCTATTTAGCTGTCTGTTTTTGAAAACTAACAAAGGTGAGGTTAACTAGGGTCTTTTCTGACCCAAACCCTGCTTGATATCCTTATTTCTAGGCTAATTCATGGCCTGCTTGTCAAAACAGTGCTTCTATTACCATGCTACCATGCATGTGCATGAATGTGCTCTTTCTTTAATCACTGCTTAGCTGCTCTGTCAAATCTGGCTGACAGTGAGAGTGTCAGACCTGTGCTACTACACCTGAAAAAAGAGATACAGTACCACTTACAGGTATGTGTAGTGCTTTGAAATACAGTACGAGGACCCTCCCCTGGAATTTCTCTCTGAGCATTGCAATGGGATCAGATATACCCGCAAGCGAATAATAAAAAAATACCAGTAAAATGGGCATTTCCATCAATTAAATGTTATCTCTATTATTTAAATATATTGATCATTCTAGCTGTGTGTTGTGTTGTATCACATTCAACAGAATTATTTTGAGATATGTTTGTCTTGTTTGGCTTTATTTTAATTTAAGGGTTCTATGCTGTATGAAAAGATGGTGAATTCCCATATGATATAAGATGTATTTACGTAATTATCCATTGACTTATCTCTGATTTAACATCTGTCACAAAAGAAAGAATGTTCTTACTGTACTTGTTCTGTATGCTGGCAACTGGAGTTTTTCACATTGAGAAAACATAAGTACCCCTACACCTCCACATTGCATCATAGTAATGAGATTTCTTCGCTGCATAGACAATTTAGGGCTTTTTAACTCATTCGAATTCTGCAAACATGGGCTTAAGTTTTTTGGCAAGATCTCCGACTACATTAAAATGTATTTTGAGTCTAAACCAGAGACTGGAAAGCACAATTCATCATTGTTAGTGATCCCTTTTTCAAATCTGGCGCTACCATCTGCTGAATATTTAAATTCTGGTTGTATTGCACAATGCATTAGAAATAACCCAGTAGCACAAATTGGGTTGTTGCAAAACTGTGTTTAGCAGACAAGTTATTTCAATGTGGTCCTAACAAGACTAATAAGACTTTTGGCAATGAAAGATCTGTATACGGAGCATGTGGTTTGTTTTTTTTATGATGTCCTTGGAGAACAGAAACCAAAGCCTTCCGAAGAGATGACCGTCTGATGATGAGAGATAGATCAGTGAAATATCAGTCCTTAAGATTTTGATCTGATATTAAAATATGATCTCTGTCAATTGCCATCTTAGAGACTGTTAAATAAAAAAAAGGAAGCAGAAAATAAATCAGCTTGTGAAGGAGCGTCGCTTACATACTGTATCCTGAAAGAGGATGCAGTGCAGACACTCGGCATTTCTTGTTTTTTCCACTTTCCTCTGTCCTCACTACCAGAGGCAGAACAAAGTCCATTCTCTTCCAGCTGGTATGATGCAATGGAACCCAGCCAGCAGGTGAGCTTCACTCACCATGGAGTGGTCTTCTGGCCAGACAACGATGATGATGCTTCAGCAACATACCCTGCCTATCCATCCTTAGCGACACACTTGCTTTATGTTGGTGCATCTAAATGAAACGGCCTTTACAGTCACAAATGTGCTCAACGTGATGGTCAGGTGACAAATCAGGATAAATCTGATGCAAAAAAAAAAAAGATCAAGAGTCGAGAGTGGATGTTGATATTTTGTTGTTATACAAAAATAGAGTTTTGGGCAATGGGTGCTTCCCGTCAGCTGCAGTCATTTTCTAATTGCATTAATTTGCCTTTTGGTTAACTGTCCTCCAGCGTGTAATCGATGGGAAGGTGATTAAAAATGAACATTTGTAGCCTGACGTCATCAAATAAACTCTTTAACCGTTCCTTTGTCTGTCTGTCTTCAGCCAATAACAGCCATTGACTAAATGCACTGCAAAGGGTTTTAAAGTTTTTCCCCTGAAAGGATACAATATGATGATGATAAAATAGTCTCAACATGTGAAACATTTTTAGGGTTATATATAAAACATATATACATGTTTTAAGTACAGATTTAAATTGGGGGTATTTGAGAAATTCCCTGAACATGCCATAATGTTTGAGTACTGAAGAGGAAAAAAAAATAGCACAGGATTGTCACTCCTCACTCTGCACTCAGCAACCTTACAACTACAAAGTTATTTGTCAAGTGCCAGCATTTGTCTTGCCGGTTCACCTCTGTTTCACTTTTAATCATTTTATGATATGGGACTTCAACCTAGAGGAATTAACTCTGGAGCTGTGTTTAATAAATAATAAGCACTAGTGATACAGAAAGATAAACCCACCTTAGCTTGAGCATTACTCAGTTAATTAGCCACTCCACTGAGATAATGGCATCTCACGGGCTTCATGGGTGTGTATGCACACATTTACACTTTAAGTCCTGTGAGAAACTACTAAAAAGATACAATATTATGCCCAATGCTCTCCACTTACTGTATTTGCTACCTGATAATTGGCCTACTCTTTCTAGTGTGAAGCTTGCGTGGAGTTCACTGTGACACTATCACTGTAAGATCTGATGAGAGGAAGACTTAAAGAAGGTATATGTCAATAACAGGAGCATTGCTGCTGCCCAGCTCTGACTAAGCAGCCTGTTCGTACAGTATGTTGACCTCCCCCACATGCACTTTGCTTTCAGCAGGTGCTGAACTCTCTACCCTTGCACCTCTGGATCAATGAGGAGCGAACAGCTAAACAAGCCCACTTCTCTTTCTTCTTACTTCTTGAAGAAACCGAAGCACTTATTTCATCCGGATTGCCTTTGTATTGTCCCATAAACATCTTGTTTCAGTGGAAATTCACTGAAAATGGAAAACACACAATCTGTCTTTTTAGACCCACCCCTCACCCTGTTTTGGAAGAGTTCAATAAAGAGGTACAAATATTGTCTGCACAGCTCACTTGTTAATTAATCAATAAAAGTCGGTAATTAGTAAGACTGATTACTGAGCATAGTCCGCAGGTGGGTCGATTCATTGATTCTCCTTTAATATCATTATTCGGGTCTTGTAGCTTGTAAGCAGTGGAAAAAATGATGAGTCATGTTCAACATTTTAAGCAGCTACGCCTCCATTGAGATTAAATGAAATTAAAAGACAGGTCCATGACCTGTGTTCTTCTTGGATAAAATAAGAACATTATTTTTGATGGACATGCACAGTTTGCAGTCATGCAGTTTGAGGAAAGTGAGAGAGCGTGCTTGAAATCTAGTTAATAGAGTTAATATATTAATAACACACTCCTCTTTCTCCATTTGAACAGATTGGTGCTATGTAAGATAAATTATGTTTTTGGTTGCACATCAAACTTTTTCCTCTTTTCATTTTTCTTCTCGGATGTACTTCAGTTCTCAGAACAATACAAGTGTGGTGCCAACAGACAACAATCTGATTGATATCTAACACAGCAGATAAGATAGGGACAGAATTGTCTGCATTTGTGAACACGCTGACAGAGAAAATAGTGGTATAATAAATGCATAATAATAACAACAACAACAACAATAATAATAATAATGTTTGCAGCAGGTGGGTTTATTGATTTATATTGTAGCTGTGCGAGGGATGATGCTGCTGTCAGCCTTTCTGCTTGTGTCTTATGGCAGAGGAGGCCTGCACTCAGAAAGCAGACTTGAAAAATCCAGCATCAGAGCCGGAGAAGAGTAATAAACGGAGACAGCAGTCAGATTTCCATGGGAAACTGTGGGGGGAAAAAAAGTGTTACGGCGGAGGAAAGCACAAATGCTCTACCCATGGGCTTCTATTATATAAGTCACAAACTTCAACGTGATTAATTAACTGGTATCCACTGTTATCAAAACCACCCACGGTGCTTTCTCGAAAGTGTTATTTGGCTAAATATGATAAATTTAATTTCCAGCTCTATTGACGTAATACTATTAATAATTTAATGTGCCTTAATCATAATCCTTATAATTCATAATTAGATTTTATTTAAATGGATAAATCCTGTTGTTGTGCTGCATTCCATATGGAACAAATCTTGTTTCCAAATTGAATTAACCAAAAAGAAAGAGAAGAAAGAAAAAACTTTCAATCGCTGCACGTACTGTTAATTATCAAAGGCAATTATTTGAAAGTCATTATGCATCGATACATTCAATAATGTTGCCATCTTTGTTTCATATAATAGGTAGTCGAGCATTTCCTTTCTATATCATTCAAGAGTCGATATGCTTCTTTATGTCAAGACCAAGTGTTTTCATTTTTTTTTCAAAAAACTCCTCCAGCAAATTATTCTGCATGCTATTATTGTAGAGAAAGGTGAATAGATTCTCGTTCCTGTAACAGTGATATTTATTCAGTAGGTCTTATGTCAAAGAGTGATATGTCAGCTTTTCAGAAATCGCGGCATTCAACCGATGTTTCAAAGAAGCATGAACAAAATACAGTACTTGAATATGTAAAAGAGATGATTTTCACCACGCACTCAAATTTGCCTTAAATGAGTGCCTTATCTAGAAAGATGACATTTTGACTATAAGGTCTTCTTCACGTCAAGATATTTTTTGCTCTGCCAGAGAAATATGTTAACACGGGCTCCACATTTAAAAGAAAAATAGGCGATCATCTTCACAATATTCCACAAATCAAAATTGAAATACCCTCCCACCACCGCTACGTTGGTCAGTCAGTTTGCTAAATCTCTCAGTGTGGTTTGTATAAAAGTAGTAGTGAATTAAGATCAATAAACAATAAATGCATAGTTTAAGCCTGTCCACTTATTTCCTGGTTTCACTCCAAACCAAGCACTGATGCATGTCTGTAATGTCATTGGACGTACTTTGACTTGAATGTTTGCTGTCCAGCCAAACTCTGACGCTTCAGTGGAAAACAGTGTCACGTTTAGAGGATTAACGGGACCTGGGTTGAATCTCAGAGAAACAGCATTGCCAAACATGTCTCTAGGAGAAGGCTGGGTTATTATTTTGTACATTTGGTCAGATACTTCAGAAGATTAGCTGTAACAAAATCTACTAGAATCTGAAAAGTAAAATGATCCTCTGTGTTTGATTGTCTTGCTCTAAAACAGGTCATTTTTATGGGATTTAACATCAATAAGTTCTGTGTTTCCAGAGCCAAGCCCATACATACCATAAGGGTGTTTGATCTGGGGACTCTATATCGACACTGTCTGTAAGCAATTTTAGTTCTTACAGTTTTCTCAGAGAGATAGCACTTCAGTTCTCTTCAGGTTTGTGCTAGCATTATTGTCATTTTATGTCCAGTATTTACTCTTACCTTACTGTATCTGCACAGTTGCAACTTGTCCTTAGACTTGTCAGTGTGCATTTTCCGTATTGAGTGTTGCCCTGGAAAAGGACATAACCTAAGCAAATAAATAATAAATAAAATAAAAAAAGTAAAGCCCACAACGCACTGAGCTGCAGCTGCGATGTTGCTGCTCTTCCTGAGCTACGGACCTGAGGGACCCACAGAGTTCCGAACGGCAGCTTCAGAGAGACACACTGTTCTCATGCTCCTCTCACCTTCCTCTTCACCAGCAGACAGACGATGCAGCACAGACCGACGGCCAGCAACAGACGCAGTCCTCCGACAACACAGAAAACAAAACACAGCCCAAGAGGCTCCACGTCTCAAATATCCCCTTCAGATTCCGGGATCCGGATCTCAGGCAAATGTTTGGCGTAAGTACTGTACACTTCACACCAGCTCAGAACATCCCAGTCACTTTTTACAGCTAGTTTGGTTTTACTACTTCAGATGTTCAGCTGTTTATGTTCTATAAGAAGAAAACAACATTCTTGGCTTAGATCCTTTATGGATGTAGATCACTTTTCGGTTTGTTAAATTCAGATTTCTAAATTTTGCAGTGCTGCAAAGCAGGGTTAGGTGGTGCTATTCCATTCTTGCGTTCAAAGTTCAAAGTTGCTTTTTAATGAAAGTGCATTTGGTTCCTGCGCACCAATAGCTCAATACTCTTCTACTTCTGTTGAAAGTCCTTTCAGCCACAAAAATAGTTCTCTCTTATTATAGTATGTGTTCGAGTTCCCCTTTTGCTCCATTCTGAACATAGCAAAAAGTAGGTTACTGACACACACTTTGTGGGACATCCTAAAGAAACAGTTTATTCTGATAAATCTACTAATCTCTTTTAGAACAAAGAATAACAGCAGTATTTGCCCTAAGTAAGTTTTTATTGCTAGTTCTTGAAAGCAAAATGTGAATATTAAGGTATCTAGGTATATCGGCAACATGTTACCTTTAAAGAAAATTTGGCATATTGTTTAAAGACTAGGAATCTTTAATTGTTTCTCCAATGTCACGATAGTACCATGTTTTGTACCTCCTAGCAATCCTAATTTAGCTCAAGATGCTAATACAACAAGAAAACAGTTTAAGGCTTGTTTTGTTTTTCTTTCTTTACAGCAATTTGGTAAAATCTTAGATGTTGAAATAATTTTTAATGAGCGGGGATCTAAGGTAAGCATGCCATTTTATATTTTAGAAAGCCTTACAATAGTTTGGCAAAAATGTATTATTTAATTTGCAGGAAAGCACTTTATAGAAGAAAAAAAGTAATATAGTAATATATAGTAAAAATGTAGTTATTACGTTCTTTACTTTTGTATTGTATAAATAAATATAACTATTTGGGGGCCTAAATCATTAATAATGGAATATTTTTAGTTAATTGTACATGGTATTCACTCCAAAAAGTTATTGACTGTTTTTCAGTTTTCTCTTTTCTATCTAATGTCTCAATAAAATGTATATACAGTACTAAAGTGTATATAAAACATTACAAATTCTACACATGCAATATATACAGTACATAAGCAGACATTTATTTTGACAGTTCTGATTCCAATTATTGTTAATCAGTCACAGATAAATAATATTCCATCAATATTCCCATTCCCATAATCCAAAAAGACCACTTTTTCTTGAAAAAGACCATAATCTTCCAATGTGTAAAGCAGATTTTTAAATTATAAATTTGAAAGGATGGTTAAATTAATCAACATATTTCAAAATATTTGGGCAAAAGAGGCTCTCAATTAGTTTAAATTTATTTCAAGTTAAAATTAATATAGTGCAAATATTTAAGGTGAATATCACTTCTGTTTTAGAGAATGCAGTTTAAATCACTAAATGAGATCATATCGTACCCTGGCTTTTTCAGCCATTACTTCTAGATCCTAAAGGTTTCTCCTGCCATTGAGCTGAAGGCCAGTAGCAAAAAGGCAGACTTGAAATTTAGTTTTTATTTGGAATGGGAAAACAGTGTGTGTGCATTATTCTGGTCGAGTAAGAACTGCAAGTTGTGTTTTTTTATTAATTTGTTAATGCTCATTTTTATATCTGTGTCATGTTTAGCATTTTTTTAGTTTCCATTTGTAATTAAAGCCTTAGCTGTTAATAAATTGTTTTGATTTGTTCTCACAAGTTAAAACTGAAGTTTGACAGAAGAAAAAGCATTGTTAATTTATATCCCTAGTGTTGCATGGAACATATTCTGAGGATAACCACTGTAGCATGACTCAGTCGCCAAAAGGCAATGTTCTACAATATTTTGTCATACAGTATGTTGTCAATTCTGCACACAAGTGTTTACTTTCTTATAAGTAGATTCTTTTGTTCTGGTTGGGAAAATATTTACGCATGTAAGGGGCTCACTTTTTTTTCCTCATAATTCAGTCTCTCTCCTTCTATTGTTTCTTTTTGTGTGAAGACACTTTAAATTTATTTTAATTCCATTTTTTCAGTAGATTTATTTTCTTCTGTTACAACCTGTTTGAGGTATTTTTTTTTAAATATATGTATATGTTTTGGGGATATTTTTATCTGTTATCTCTTGGGCGGGTGAGGGTTTGTCTCTAACTCCAGGGGAAGATATTGTTCACGTCTGTTGCTTATTTATTGCACATCTCAATGCTGTTATTTATTTATTTTTTTGGGGGGGAAAGATTATTTTCTAATTTGCATGTTAAAGAAGCGAAAATCAAGAAATGTAAAAAAAAAAGAATAAGTCAGACACACACGAAAGAAAATCTTTTGGAGGGGGAAAAATGATTTTAAAGTAACGGGACAAAGTAAAACTTTGGTCAATGATTGAATGAATAACATGCATGTTGTCTCCCCTTCTCCCGCCTGCATGCAGGGATTTGGTTTCGTAACATTCGAAAATAGTGCCGATGCGGACAGGGCGCGAGAGAAATTACACGGCACGGTGGTAGAGGGCCGTAAAATCGAGGTGCATGTTCCAAATATTTCCCTTCTCATCTCTTTCTGAATGTCTGCTTCACTCTCATGTTGTTGTTTCAGATACATCATTTGTCTCTCCATGTGCTCCTTCCCTCCCCCATGTTTTTTTTTTTCCTTTATTTTTGAAAAAAATCTATCTATAGAAAACTATCTGTATCTGCTCAGGTAGATCTTTTTACCTTTTATTTATTTGTTTGCTTTAAAAGGCCTGTATGACCTTTATCTCATTTAGTTATTTGATTTTGTTATTATTTGTGTACAAATAATAGAGAGAGAAAACTCTCCCCCCCCCCAAACCCATATGAAGCTATGATTTCCTATGTTGAATTATGTTTTTTTAACTTTTTTAAAAAAAAAATGGGTGCAGTAATTTCCAAAATAAAGCTTAAAAAAAAGGAAATTGTGTATTTATTGAGAATAACTATGGTTAGCTGCCATACTGCAGGGTTGATGAGGGATATGCGGTGGCCTGGAAATAAATCAACAACATCCAACAATTCTGTGACCAAAATCCGAAACAAAACGAATTCGGAATGTTTTTAGGGTGCTGGAATACGTTGTAGCAGACCAAAGGGGGCGAAATTGGGGCGTTAGTTGACCTAATGTGTCTAAAATTGTGACAAATCAGTACCTGCAGAAGTAAACGCTGTGTCACCACTGATTCCCACTCAACACTGCCATTGAAAGCCTGTTTTTCTAGAGTCATTCCGATATTAAGTGGTGTCGCCTTTGAGTAAGATGTTGCATATTTTGCCTTTTTATCCCCCCCCTTTTCAACGATAGAGCGTAGGGCCCTCACCAAACTCTCAGTAACCACGGTAACTGTATACATACACATGCTGGCGATGTGCCGAATGGTAAGTGGAGAAGTCCATCTGCCGTTTCACGTATTAAGCGCTGATACCACGTGAATTTTTTTGACTTGTTGTTATTAAGTTTCTTGATGCTATTTTTATATTGGTACGCCTGTACTTGAGTGTACGTTTTTTAGCCGCCTGAGAGGCACTGATTGGACTGAACTGACTCGTGCACATCTTACTCAGATTGTTAACTCCATATTGTGTTAAATAATGCACCCTCTTTTATCCTTTGTTAGCTGTGGTTTAAGCTTGAATGATTTTTTTTTCTTTTTCTTTGTTTAGTTTTTATTTTTTTATTTATTCTTGCGATGAAACAAAGGCTCTTGTTCCAAGTGTTGAATGCTAAATGTTGCTTTTTTTTTTCCAATGGTATTTCTATTCTCAAGGGTTATGTTGCACACTGCTAATCTTGTTTGTCTTTCTTTGTTCTTGTACCTTGTCTCTCTTCCCCTTCTCCACTGCATGTTCCTTCATATATGGATATTTTGTTTGTTTGGTTGGTTGTTCTTCCTATTTTGTTTTTTAATTTATCATGAAGTCTTAAAGCATGCTTTCAATTTTCTAAATGAAAATATGCAGTTACTTTTCATTTGCTTTGATGTCTTTTTCTAAACTGATAAATGATATTGCTTTTTTGAAATGATATATAAGATAAACGTAATGATAAAACTGTTTGTGATTTTGTTATGCATCTTATTTTTGTATTTAAATACAGATATATTTATTTGAATGTAAATACAGTAATGATAATGCATGCATTTTTATTAGATGAAGTAAATTAATGTACAGTATGAGGACACAGACATCATTCCAGGGTATACTAATTTTGTCTTCTTTGTGCTTAGGTTAATAATGCAACAGCACGGGTAATGACAAATAAAAAGACAGTCAACCCTTATGCAAATGGTAAGTCAAACTTCAACCTCTCAGGTACTAGAGTCTGCTGGTGTACCCCTGTGCCTCACAACGTGGTTGCTGCATATCGTCTATGGGCAAATAGCTTTTAAAGTCTGTATTACAGATGCAAAAGCTAGCTACTGAATGTATGAAAACTTGAAGTTCTTCTATGGCGGCCTAGCCTGTGGTGCTGTTAAAGGCTAGTAAAGAGGAAAAGGTGTATCCGGAGCCCCTCATACGCAGATGTTGAAATAATAGGATTTATATTGTGCTTTTTATCCCAGAGGATCCCAAAGCACTTTACATGTACAGTACAGTAGGAGGGGACTCTCTCCATCCACCACTGCAGTGCAGCCCCACCTAGGTGAGGCACAACAGCCATTATGCACCTGCAGCCCCACTGATCAGGTGCAGGGGCAAGAATTTGTGAACTGAATTGGCCAGAGTGGAATTTAATAAGGATTCCAGGGTAAACCCCTATTCTTACAACCAGGGAGTCTTTCATGACCACATTATTAAGAACCACAGTTTAATGTGTCGTACAAAGGGTAGCACCTCCCCTCCATGCTGGAGTGCTGGTTTGTAAATTCTGGCCCAAAAAGAACGACACCACCCACTGGTCTGCCAGGTGTAACGTTTTGGACTGAGCAAAGTAGTGCTTAGCAGCTCTTTCACTCGCCCTTCTCTATAAACATGCACGGCTCACAGATGGAAAACCTTAGAGAAATGGAGCACTGAAAGATCAGGGGAGTGCGTCTTAAATCTTTCACACTTAAATGTTCTTCTAAGTGTGAGGGGTGAGGCGCACACAGCAGTGACTGTCTGGAGAAGAAATAGGAAAGGGGTGGATTTTCTCTCGAGCTGCAGCATAAGGTCCAGCACTTGCCTTTGCTTTGAAAAGTAACTGGGCATTTAATGGTGAGAACTGACAGCTCTGCATTCCGAGTTTATAGGAAATCAATGAGAAGTGCCCTGGTTTAAAATACCATATGTACAGGGAGCTTTATAGCGTCACTCTTGGTTAGCTTCCCCAGATCAGGAGCTATCTGATTTGCTAATGGCTCCCTTTCTTATGATCTCATGATTGTTTGGAACAAAGGAAGGCAGGGCTCTTACATTTTTCATGGCAAAGTAAAAGTGTTAAAGTTGCCAAGCTGTAAGGGCATACTGCAGAGATCAGCACAGTGCTGCTATTTCGTACATCTTTAATTTTAAACATACAGGAACGCGTACTATGTAGGCCCGACTTGTACAATGCCATAATTTCACAGTTGCATTTATATGTTCTTCTGTTGTACAGCTTGGCAGAATCTATTAAATTCATCACCATCTGTGATAAATTAACATCACAATAACAACCAACATCAACAATTGTTTGGTGTGTGTGACATTTTGAGCTTCAAGGCACACCAGTTTAACCTACTGTATCTAATCTGTCTGTGTACAGTATCTGGAGCTATATGTCAATGAGTGTATCAGTCTGTCTGTCTAGCAATATGCTTTAAATATTTTAAAAGAACAGTGAAAGCATCAGACATTGATGTGAGGAAATCTCTTAATATATAGGCAAGCAACTGTCTGTTCTTAAAAAAAAATGCCAGTTTAAGAGAGCTCATTAGTTAGGTTATAGAAGTGCAGAGAATGCAGAATTGGGCAGTCATACTTTTAATAAATTGCCAGTTTACAGCACGGAGGAATCAGCTCACTTTTAAACCCGGCGTCTCATAATTAAGCCAGCCCTCATGGCCTGAAAAAGTCCAATTTAAACACTAGAAAGCAATGAGGCTACGGCAGACAGGAATCTTCCTCTGTGACACAAATGAGCAACTGTCAGCTGTTAAAGGCAGGGGCCTGTGTTCAGAGTAGCAAGGTGCATTGTAAAACTGCAAATTGAAATCATGAGTGGGTCAGGACACCATTTATAATAAAACAAAACTTAATGCGCTGTCAACGACTTTTATGGGCATCACATTGGTGGGATCAGTTTGTTTTAATTAACTCTAGCTTTTCACATCTCTGAGTTTACAGCTGCATCGTCAGAACATTAGGATCGCTTTGTGGCCTTGACATGACAGATGACATTTTAAAACAAACAGTGCAAATAGGGCTATTTTTTATCATGCAAAATGGAACTGCTGGGGACAACCCAAGATAAAAGATCATGGATATAATAAAAAGATAATTGATTTTTATTAGCTTTGCATTTTTACATATGGGTTGCAGACAGCAAAGGTGGGCTGGAGCTAAAGTGATGTTTGACAGTGGAGGAGATATATAAGATGGCAGTGCAGAGATGAATGGTTTCAGGAGAGGAGCAGTATAGCCAGTATAGCCATGTCTCACGCCACCTGCTAGCAAGCATTCATTCATTTTTTTTTATTTCCTATCAATTAAATGAATGTTTCTTTCATGATAAAAGAGCAGAAAAAATACAGAACTAGAAATGGCAATGCAGCAAGGTAATATAGATAAGAAACAGTACACCTCATTACAGGAGAAATAAACTGCTTCCAAATAGAGCTTTTGATCATTTTAAAAGGTCAAAGAAGCCAAAGTTACTTGAGACCTGTCTGTAAGCGTTGATTAAAAATGTAGCCAAATGGCATGTAAAATCTCCCAGAATGCATCAAAAGCTCTGGACCCCAAATGAAACAAAAAAGCCTCAAAATGGTGCCCAGTGTATCAGCTCCTTGGTCAGTCAATCTCTGTGTGACCCTGGAAAGTAAGTCACTTGCCCTGCTTGAGCTTCTTGTTCACACAGCTGTCAGATTTAAAACCAGGGCCAACCTTGATGTCTCATCAGCTTTGGTACGGTATCCTACTTCAGTCTAAAACAAAATCCCATTCTTTCAATCCAATATACGTAGTAAAATGAAGCAGTATGGGCATACATGAGTTAACCTGCATGACTTGAACACACTTTAAAAAAGCTTTAGATTGCATAGTTGCTATTTATTTTAAAACACTTTCAGTTTTGCTAAGCTGTAATTTATGTAAATAAATCCCCAGCTTCTTGGCAATCAATATTTTCCAGAGGGCCTGGCTTGTTTTCCTCTGATGGCTTGAACCAGGGTACCTCGGCAGCCCTGAGACTGCTGGACGTTAGCTCCTGTCACACATGATTAACCCACACAGTTATGGGCTGCCACATGACTCGTAGACGAGACAAAGTTAAGTTTAATTGCTGTTATTTCCATGATAAATGGAAGTCTTGGCTTCGACGGCTCGGGAAAGTTAGACGATGCAGCCATCAAGAATAGGGAGTGGGAGTTCAGATGAAAAATGAGACAACCTTTCAGCTTTAAGCATCGACCAGCATCTCGGAAGATTTTTCTCGGACAAACTGAGAAGCCATTAGTATAACTGAAAGTCTGTCAGAGCCCCTCCACCCACTGTCTCCTATACTGCGAGACTGGCTGAGGGACAGGCTGGATCGAGCCAGCTCAGCAGAGACCACTTCTTGACTCGAGACGCCAGTCCTCCGGTCACGCTTTGTGACTCGTATTGGGAGTAGCTGGAGCCGATGCCAGAGGATGGAAACTTTGTTCTGCTGTTGTTTTTATTATTCAGTCCAAAAAAAAAAAGATTTTGCTGTCAGCAGAAAACATAAAGGAAAAACAGTTTTGCTTTTTCAGAAACCTCCTCTAACCTCTAACCCATGCGCAATTAAATTTGCACCAGTAAAACTCAATATTGCAGCTGTGATTGTTTGTCATCTTGCCAAGAGTAGGAGAGGAGTGCGGTCTAATGAGGTGTCTCTTTCCTTTGTAGGCTGGAAGTTGAATCCAGTGGTGGGTGCCGTCTACAGCCCAGAATTCTATGCAGGTAAATGCACAATGTGCAGTCATTAATTGAAGGATATCATTGAATCCTGTTTGCTTGTATGTAAGTTCAGGTTGAATGTTTTATTATGATTTATTTTCAGTGAAATTTTCTCCTTCTGCCAGGGTTTGGAAACACCTTTTTTGAAGAGCAAAAATAATGAGAATTCAATGAGTTCCGTCTGCTTGTGACAGTGTCTTCTCAGCACCTCACTTTCTGATGTCGTGTGGCTATGGAGCCCCGCGTGATAGATGGGCTTGTAATCGCGTGCTCTACACGGCTGGTGCTGAAATGTGGGTTTCATCTGCTCGTTGTCAGGAGTCCAGTGAAAAACTCTGAGTTTTCTGAGGAGGTTGTGTCTGACACTCCTCTCCCATCACACACGCACACACCAGATTTTAACACAAGCATTTCAATAAGGGATGGAAAGCCACAGGGTCAGCTTTATCACTAAAGCCAGAAGATGGTAGTAGAGACAGCCAGCTTTTCCATGTCCTTAAAAGATTACCATAAGGTGAGGATTTACAGAAAGGCTGGTAACATGCTCACTAAAGGGAGAATTAACGGCGGCAAGCAGCAAGGCCGCTGGGGGGATCCATGTTGATTTGAATAAATAAATAGAGAAATCACTGTAATATCCTGTCCAGATTTTTGTGAGAGCTAATTTAGAAAGGAGTATGGGAGGGGGGGGCTCCCAGGAGAGAAATATTGTGCTCCCACAGTGTATAATTTAAAACCTGGCCCGGATCTCTGTGTTGCTACTAAGCAGGCGCTGGCATCACCTCGGAGGCCTGGCAGCCAGTGACTGTTTATTCCAATTAGCCAGTGGGTCCTCTTGTAGCTGGATGAAAATGGCTGTCGGCCCACAGACTCGCACTCACGACTCACAATGAGACACATCTTTCAGACACTGTCTGAACACTGGGGAAGACTTGAAGGCCTCTGAGGTTCCTCTGGGTTCTGATATCTGAAAGCAAGCACTCCGGTCATCTTTCAAAGTGAGCTCATTGTTGGAACTGGAGAGTCCCAGTCCCGACCCTCTGCACTCCGCCGTTATCTTTCCCATTAGGAAGAAAAATATTGCTATTTTATGGTAATTGAAACAATGCAAAGAAAAGGAAAAAAAAAACTGAAAGTCTCCTTGTGCTGGGGCATGGAGGGGTTGGAATATATTTTGTAAATTAAAATCAATATTTTCCATTTCTTCAAACACTAATTTTCCTAATTCAGTGCACATTCTGTTAATTACAAAATGGCAGATTATTGATTTAGTTTCGTCTCACCTTTCAAATCTCAAAACACCTTTCTTCCTATCTGAATGCAGAGTAGGAAAGCTTTCTCCCCTTTAAGTTAATGAGAAGTTTAATTAGAGTATGTGCTGCATTAACATGTTATGATTCTGTTTGCACAGAGAAATTGATCATTTTGTCTCTATAGCATTTGAAACTGATTTTGCCAATTTATTAATCATGGTACTGTCAAGGTTTTGGCATGAAAATAGTTAAGAATATGTATCAGCTGAAGCATTGAAGCACGTTGCTGGACAAAACAATTGAAATCAGACTGTAGTGACTTCTTTTACAAAAAAGTAATACATTAATGTGGTCCTTTTTAAAAAAAATCTGTTTCTGAAGGCTGTTATAAACATTAACCAAGGGATTTTGCAGGATTCCCTTGGCAAAAAAACAGACATGACAACCCTGGCTGGCTAATTTTAAATAAGAAATTTGCATATGTTTTTCAGTGGTCTCTTGATTTATGAGCTCAAGGTCTAATACTGCAGGGCTCACAGAGGCTGCAACTTATAAGAGGTCAGGTGCTCAAATTATCCCAGACCAAAGTGGGGCCGACAACAGCCCTTAGGTGAACATCCTCTCCTTCAGCCGGCCAAATGATGAAAAATTCAGCCACTTTAGGTATAAAGATGATGTATCTGAGGAGAAACTGTTGATTTAAGGCATCTTTAATCTTCATAAATAAGTAAAAAACAGAAGGTTATACAAAGCTGTCAGGATGGCACTGATGAATGGCGAATTCACCAGTTCTCAATTGCCGGTGAAGACACACGCCGCAAGGCTGAACCACGTTGTACATCATGTCTGCCAGCTCATTTCTATGATTAAATATTCCGTCAGAGTAGGCTATAACCCTGTAAAGCCTAACAAGATTCATATGATGCCCCACTCGAATTTACATAACTCACTTCTCCCAATGTGGAGCATCCCCTGGTCCGCGAGAGGGAAAGAAAATGAGAATTGAGTAAAATTACTCTGAGAGACAAAATCAATAGCGAGAGAAGAAAGAACGAAGCCCTTAATGTGATGCAAATCTGAGATATAGTTATGTCTTGACAACTTGAAGCACAGCTATTAAAGTCAGAACTGGTGGAACGCGATGTAAATCAACTGAAAAACCTTCTAGCAAAATGAGAGAACCGTCCGGAAGGGATGCTAACGATGTACATTTGTATTTTATTTTGTTTTTGTTTTTGTCAGAAAGCTCTCCCTTTTCATGATTTTTTTTGGAGTTTACAATTTCCAGATTTCGTCTGAGACAACTGAGTCTCACAAGCCAAATGGGATACCTGCCATCTTCCATTTATACTGACAGCAAGAGAAATTCACATTTTAATGTTTCCGTACAAAGCAGGGCAAAGTAGGCTCCAGAACAGACAGGGCTTTATGGGAAAACTTTGATAACATTCCTGTAACCTAGGTAACTGCAAAGGAACAGTGTTATTGAATTTGAGATAAAACTGCAATATCTTTGTAATCGCATAACTTCCCTGTGAAGTTTATTTTTGAAGAACGGCTCTACAAAAATGATATGAGTTGTGTGTCCTATGTAATTTTCTTATATAAGAGTTCATTCATTATCATCCATCTGAAGCCCTATTTCAGTCCTGTAGAAGGATACTCTAGTATTAATCATCTTGCGGGCTATTGTAAATATCACATTATATGCTTTTTTATGAGCCATGACTTCCCTAGTTACACCTGATGCAAAATTTCTCTTCTAAGAATTATTACAGATGTGCTCTGGACCATGTAATGTGTCCCTATGAACAGTCTGGTTTATTTGCCCAGAAATGTTGCCTTTAATATGAGCTGGTTCATGGGCTGTGAGTGACTTCACAAAAGTGCGCAGCTCGAGCCCCATAGTCCACTCCTTGCTGGTCTGAGTCTGGGTTGGAACATTAGTTCCCTGTGGGACTCCGCACTCTGTTGCTGGAGTGTGAATAAATGTTAATGCTTTTGCCATTGTTCCAACTCAATACTACTGTTAAATCCCCACTAGTTATACAAGTTTAACCGAATGGAATAATGCTTTAATCCTGATAGCTTTAGAGTCTTTAGAGTGTGTTTGTTTTGCAAGACCTGGTAAATGTTACCAGGTTATACAGAAGATATAGATATAGAAGATACGTTTTTTTTCCAAGAATGCAAAATCACTTTATTTCACAAACATCCCTGCAGGTGAGCCTCTAAGTCCTAAAGGTTAGATGAATATATGGTATAACCTAGTCAGGAAAGAGCAAAAAGGTTATTAATAAGTTGTCAGAGGAGCAGGAGCCTACCCTGGCAGATAGTGGGTGCAAGGCAGGGTATGCCCTGGATGGGGCACCAGTCCCTTGTAAGATACAGAATCACTCTCAAACCAGGGCCAGTTTTCCCTGGAAGTTAATTAAACTACCAGCAATGATAAGCACTGCACCACAGTGTCACCCAGTCTTCCTTTTTATTTCAAGATTAAACAAAATTCTCTTAATGGAATTTAAACTATTAAGTGATAATTCATGATGTTATTCTAGTCTTCCCTCAGGCAGTAGCCTAGAAGGGATTCTGTCTTGGGTAAAAGTAAAGATATCGTTAGAACACAGACTGCAGAAGAGATCTTGCACAGACAATATTAATGTCCTCAGCACATTTGCCCAAAAAAAAAATCTCCTTCTTTTTAACTGTTAAAACACAATAAAGCAAAAGATTTTTGCCAGCTAAAAATGAAGGAGCGTACAGTAACTCTAAGAAGGAATATCGAAAGAATTGCCTGGAACTGTACTCATCACATAGTCTGTCATTATGTTGCAAGTGGTGTTACGTTAAAAACAGTCCTGAAAGGAGCCCACATCTGGATCTGTCAGCCAAGGGCTTCTCTCCTAGAGCTGCTTTGCCACGATTCTCTTCTACGAGCTGTGATTTTCCTTCAGAGAGACCAGGCTGCATTTGACAAGTGTCCATACGCATTTTACTGTGTCCATACAGATTCTGTCGTTTTCTTTAAATCACTGCCTGCATGAAGCATGGAAACAACTTCACGTGTCGAGTTTATCCACTAGCTAGGCTAATTAATGAAATGAAGATTTTTGTTTAACAAGTGCATTCGACTGCAGCATTGAGATGGACACTGGCCAGAGTTCATCCCCCAAAAGCTAGATTTGAAAAGAGGCCTACAATATACACTAGGAGCTCTTCTCACATCTACAGATGCAGCCAGTCAAAATGCACGGTACAACCCCGTACTGTGCGAGATTACCCACAGTTCACCACGTTGTACCGCGGTACATGATTTGGCTGGCCAAAATGACCGACAGGGGCACTCGTTGTGCATTGGTTGTTAGTGAAACTATTTAATCATTTAATCTCTTTACTGTGTATGTTTTAATCCGCTTAGTATTGAATATTTATATGGAATTCTACAACTAAAGGGAAATTTTAGTAGCTGAGCATAAAAAGAAGAGGAGCATAACGTGTCTGAAGGTCATAAACGATATTATTGTAGGTACATAAATATATTATGTACAGTAAACTGTTTATGACTGGTATTGGTAGTTTAGATAAAAAATACACAATGAAACGCTTGGTGGGCTGTTGAATTTCAAGTAATTCTACACATTCATAGGATTGTTCTCCATCTTCATCTAGATTAAACAAATTAAGAACTCTTAAATTAGGAGTTCTGCCACTGTGCTGGATATTTCATATTTCATATTTCATATCTATATA